ATTGCATAACCGACTCAGTTGCGATAGCAAGCTATTAAATCTGAATCCATTTCTAGACGACAGCGGCATTTTAAGAGTCGGAGGACGTCTTAAAAATGCAAATATTAGCACTGACATGAAATATCCCATGATCATCCCTTATAACGGACGACTGACGGAGCTCCTTATCCAGCAAGCACATGAAAATACCTTTCATGGGGGGGCTCGACTAACCTTGTCTTTGTTGAGACAACAATATTGGATAATCAAGGGAAATAGAGCCACCAAGAAACAACTTCGTAATTGCGTGACCTGCAAAAAACAAGAACCCAAACGACTTCACCAAATAATGGGACAACTGCCTGATTTTAGGACTAATCCAGCTCCTCCATTTTATCATACTGGAATAGACTACACAGGATCTATTAAAGTTAAATCAAACAAAGGGAGAGGAATCAAAACCTCTAAAGGATACGTTGCCCTGTTTGTTTGCATGGTTACGAAAGCAGTACACATAGAGTTAGTTTCCGACCTCAGCAGTTTATCGTTCTTAGCTGCTTTACGTCGCTTCTCGGCTCGACGAGGAACTCCAAAGCATATATATTCTGATAATGGAACTAACTTTGTGGGAGCCAATAAGATACTTCAAGAAGAGCAACAACATTTTGAGAACATTTTTAGCGACAGCTTTTATAAAGAAATAGCAGAACTGAACATAGAATGGCATTGGAATTGTCCATCTTGGCCGAGTGCTGGAGGGATCTGGGAGCGATCAATCAGAAGTCTTAAGCAACATATGAAAAGAGTAATTGGAGACCAAGCCTTAACATTCGAAGAATATTCTACTATTCTGTCTCAAATTGAAGCAAGCCTTAACTCAAGACCACTGTGTTCAATATCAGAAGACATAGAGGACATTGATTTTCTTACACCAGCACATTTTTTAACTAGCCGTGCGGGTCTTACTGTCATAGAAACAGCACAAGATGCGAGGACAAGATGGTATTTGGTGAACAAAACGTTCCAGGATATATGGAAACGATGGAAAACCGAATATCTTAGCCAACTATCGATGCGTAGCAAGTGGTTCAGGGAACAAAAGAATATAGAGATAGGAAACATGGTTACTATTCATGATGACAACATGCCTGCCGGAAAATGGCCAGTTGGTCGGGTGGTAGAGGTCCACCCAGGAAAGGATGGACTCGTCAGGGTAGTAACTTTAAAAACTAAAAATGGTTATATGAAGCGTCCAATTACTAAACTATCGATTTTGCCAATATCGGACAAGATTACAGACAAACAAGGAAAAATCGAAGCTACAGAACAGCAAAGCCAAGAAAAAATGATGGAAATAAGGAAACGGACTAACAGTTGTCCTAAGATCTATAGCATTGTACTATCATTATTATTTTTTATGAACCTTCTTATACCTTCTGAAGCGTCTTATAAACTAACAGCGTTCGACAACAATCAAACTATTTATTTCGACTCTCTAGGACAAATGCATCTCATTCGTGATGAGTGGAAAATTGTCACTTATTATAACATGTCTCCCTACTGGCAAGGAGACACAGCGATTACAAAGTATATGGAATATCTCGAACAAACATGCGGAAAGATTCAAGCACAGAGCCATTGTCGAATCATCATTTTGCAAGTACAGCATGAATATAATGAATTAAAATTTTACAATCAGCTATTGCTTAATCAGCATTTTGGAGCGCACTTGCGAACCCGACGCGGGTTGATTAACGCGGTCGGTTCTATTGCAAGTTCATTGTTCGGAGTACTCGACCAGGAATTCGCAGAAAAGTACAAGAACGATATTGACCTCGTGCGTAGTAATATAAACCATCTTAGTCAGCTTTATAAGAATCAGACATCGGTCATTGAAGCGGAATATAATATCTTAAAGAGAACAGAGGATACAATTTCAAAACAACATAAAATTATCAATAAGCACTTGAATTATTTAGACAGCGAAACCAACACATTACAGAAGGAAATCGACGTAATATCTACCCATCAAGATTTCACCTTGACAGCATTAGCAACCATCAATATGATCCAAAACTTAAAGCGAATTCAAGATGCCTTTCTTGACACAATGACTGAAGTATATCACGGTCAAATCAACCTGCATCTGTTGACACCACAACAGCTTCGTGGGGAGTTACAAATTGTGTCTGGCCAAATATCCAAAGAGCTAGCAATACCTGTAGACGACATCCAATTCAACCTGTATAAGATCTATAAATTATTGAAAGTCAAAGCCAGGATGATGGAGGAATATTTCATATTTGAAATTACTTTACCCTTAATCAGCAGAGACACATTCCAACTTTATAATTTGATTCCAGTTCCAGTTCAAATTAATAAAAGTATGATCACCATTGAACCAATAGCAGAATATGTTGCGATCAACTTAAGAAGAGATGCTTATTTGACCGCAAGCATTAAAGATCTTCAAAACTGTGAATATCAAGCAGAAACTTACCTTTGCCATTTGCAGGGACCTATTAGGAGCTTAGGTCCTGATGAAAAATTCTGTAAAAGGGAGAAGCTAGCCATTTGCCGAATGAAAAAATCTAACTGTGAAAACAAGTGGATTCCACTACACGACTTTTCTACCTATTTATTCTTCTGTTGTGACTCATACTCTTTGCGAATCATATGTGAAGACGGCCTACAAGTTCACCGAGTCAACAAGGCCGGACGCATTCAGCTTACTCAGCAGTGTATTGCAAAGGGTCATGACGTGACGCTTTACGCTTATCAACAATTCGAAAATACGCTCAAACTTAAGCCAGCTGTTCTCGACACTGAATTGACTCCGATAAATCACTTTATTAACAACCTCACGCTGCCTATCCAACATTTTAACGATTTTGAAACTGACGACGAAAGCATGATGATAAATAGCTCCCTAAAACATCTCCATGAACAAATTAAGTCCTTGAAAGAATCAGCTCAGCCGCCGGACCTCCTGACGACACATGATATACACCAATACACGGTGTTTTATGGACTACTAGCAGCAGCCATCGCAGGGACCACGATCTGGTTACTGAGGAGAAGGTGTCAGCGCGCCGGATGTTTGCCCCGCCAGGGGCGGACCGAGAGCGTACCAGCAAGTGTGAGTGTGTGTATAAATCAATCCGAGCCAAAAATGAGCTCAAGTGTCAGTGCGCGAAACCTGCCTCCATCCGAGGAGTCGAGTGTAAGTGATAGTGCACGCGTATCTCACTTTTCAAAACGGTGGTCTAGCTTACGTTCGAAAAAGCGAGACATATCAACCTCACCTATTGCCAAAAGACGATCTGTAAATTTCATTGACGACTCAACTGTGTGAGTCATTAGCTATATTTTGTTATTGTTTTGTCACCTTGTAAATCATCATCCAACACTGTTCTAACCTTCCTTAGAATATAAGCCATCAATCATTATTAAGCATTTAACGTCTATCTTTGTATAAGTTCATCTCATTTCTTCCCCTCGGGAGCATGTTCGATACATTATCCACGATCGAACACGTTTTGCTGATCTAGCGACCCAAACACGACACGCTAAGTGCAGCGTGGCTTCAGTACATATTCGGACAGCAAACCGGGTGCGTTCGTACTCATTAGCATTTCATTTAGCGTAATTTTATCGATTTTGCAATAAATCCTTGAAGTTATTTAAGTATTTAATTTATCAGCGTAACAAGTCTATATCACTTCGGTCGCGACTCCTACAATTACCGCAACATATTCATGAGTGTTTCGAAAATTGTTTACTTAATGGACTCGATTATTATTTATGTAGGTAGATGATTTTCAATTTAATTTTCTTGTGATAAAATCAAAAATCAAATCTCTTCATTCCAATACAACGAAGTTAGTAATTATTGTGGAACTACTATACAATGAAGTTGGTAACATTTGGCGTAGTAGACTACCATTAAATTATGCTAGCTGTCGCCTGCGACTTCGTCCGCGTAGAACAATGACTTCAAGCAGAATTCATCAGAATTGATTAAGTGCCTGAGTGAGATTTATTGTGAAATGAATTTGTCGTGGTTTCAAAAAATAAATAATAATAATAATACCACAGGGATTTTACCAGTACAGCGCCCGTTCCCATAAGGTTTTAGCGATAAAAACTATTCTATCGACTATTGTTGTACCGAATCTCTCTAAAATAAATTCAGTGGTTAAGAGATAGAAAGTCCCGAGGCTTTAACGCATAGTTCCTGTTTCCGTGGGATTTCTGTGATAAAAACTATCATACATCGTTTCCCAGGTCTCAAATTATCGTTTTATCAAATGTAGCTAATAAAGAATTCAATGAATCTAAATTCAATAGATTCAAGGGCTAAGGAGATTTATACACATTCTCTTCTCCTATTTTATCTCATTATTGGTGTATTTTATCAAAATCCTTTCTTAGGAGATGCCTACGTCTTAGTAGCTTTATGCATGCAAAATTTCAGCCCGATCAGTTAAAATTGACAGAGTTTCATACAAACTTTCATCCCTTGTTTTATACATTTGGTGGTGGAATTGTCAAAATATTTTCTTAGAGGATGATTACGTCATAACCTCTACCTGTATGCCAAATTTCAACTCGATCGGTTTAAAACTGTTAGTAGTAAAGTTTCATACAAACTTAACTTTCATCTGTTATTTAACCCCCTTTTTTGAGGGGGGAAAATCATCCAATGATTTCTTCGGCCTTGGATTAGGCGAGAGGGAGTGTCAGACTCTTACTCACTAAAAACCACCCCGTTTCTGCTGCTGCACTTCGTGCCGGAGCCCCGGAAACCCGTGAGGCTTTTCGCGGCTCCGTATCGGCATCAGTCCTATTGGGCCTCATTCCTGGTGGTCTGAAGGCTCTTTGAGGTCCGCGTGGAACGCGACATGCTCAAAATCCTTTCTTAGCGGATGCCTACGTCATAACACCTACCTGCATGTCAAATTCCAGCCCGACCCGTCGAGTGGTTTGGGCTGTGCGTTGATAGATCACTGTGTGTACAGAGCACGCCCCTGCTGGCGGGCGTGGCCCCGCTGGGGTCCCCGCAGTCGTCGCTGGGCTCGCTGGCGCACGGCCCGCACCCGCCGCACGGACATCCGCAACATCCGCCGCCCGCGCCCTGTAAGTATACACACTAACTTTAAGGATGTTTTCACTTTGGGAATTTTTTACAAAATTACAAATTGTGACGTCATTTTTGGCGTCAAATAGTATGTAATGTTAATGAAAATATCAATGTTTCGTAAGTCGAAGAAAATATTTTTGTGAAAGGAAACGAAACATTGTCATTTTACGATTTAAAGGATAGAATTAATAATATTATGTTCCTTGTATTGTAGGTGGGTCTGGTACATGTCCACTGGGCGCTGCTTGCGCGGGTCCAGCGTTGGGCGTGGGCGTGGGAGTGGGAGTGGGCGACATATACGCGTCCGCGGCGCGCGAGCGTGGACACTACGTCGCGTACGAACCGCTCGGACATTATACACAGTCAGTTTCTACATCTCTACTTTACAATTATAATTTTTACTGTAAAAATTATACACTCGTTTCTGAGTTTGAATTCTTGTGGAACGAAGTTACATCTTAATTCCATCCATGTTTATTAATGTATTATTAATTTCAGCCGCGACTCGCTAAGCAGCGAGACAGGCCCGGGCAGCGGGGGCCCAGGCAGCGGCCCGGGGCTGGGCCCCGGCGGCGGGTCCCTGCAGCGGCGCGGGGCGGGCGGGGGCGCGCTGCACAGCTTCACGCTGAGCGACAACGCGAGCGACACCTCGACACCGCCACACTCCCGCGCCAGCGCCCGCGACACGTCGCCCTACAAGAAGAGCGCCAGCTCCTCGCCCGGACACATACCCAACAGACTGCAGCTCGGTGAGACTATGTTACTAGGTCCCGCGACACGTCGCCCTACAAGAAGAGCGCCAGCTCCTCGCCCGGACACATACCCAACAGACTGCAGCTCGGTGAGACTATGTTACTAGGTCCCGCGACACGTCGCCCTACAAGAAGAGCGCCAGCTCCTCGCCCGGACACATACCCAACAGACTGCAGCTCGGTGAGACTATGTTACTAGGTCCCGCGACACGTCGCCCTACAAGAAGAGCGCCAGCTCCTCGCCCGGACACATACCCAACACCATAAGCAAATTGTTCTCATTTAAACTTATTGATTCACCATGGTGTCAATGTTCGACAGTGAATTTGCAATACAAGCAGTCGGCCCATCACATACTCTGGGAGTGTGATCTCTGGCAATATGAACGTAACACTATGTTAAATAATTTAATTGTTTCGTCAGGTGTAGCTTATTATACGGACCTTGTGGAATCTAGAACGAATTTCCGTGCTTTACCGTGCCGTGTATAACAGCTCACACATAGGACCCACTTAGATTTTCGTCAAATTTCCGTAGTGCTTGGCGACTGGGCTTCTCTCATTCTGTCTCCTGCAGTAATTCACCGAGGGAAGTGGAAACTATAGTTTTTTCTTCTTCTCCTCTTATAATATCTTCTGATTCACTTCGTTGCGGGAACCAAGACAGTTACTCATGTCCCTGGGACGCGCCGGACTTCAGTGTTCCGGTGTTTTCATGGTTGTATCTACTGTAGATCCTGGCTTACAGGAGTTGCAGCGGTTTTGAAAGGTTGTGGCGGGGCTTGTCCCTTTAAAAAAAAAGATACAATTTGTATTGTAATGTCAATATTTTATGCCAGGTGGTACAGTCCCGCACTGCGCGGACGAGCTGGAGCCGCTGACTCCGTCGCGGTCCACGGAGAGACTCCACCGGGAGATGCAGAACCTGGAGGGACTCATGAAGGACCTCTCCGCCATCACGCAGCAACAGTTCCACTGCTAGCACGACACTACATCATTATATTGTACCCCAGCTTTTCATTCGATTCAGCAAACTGGCGTAAAGTAATGTTAAAATCGGTTCAGTCAATCGTGAATTAATTGCTGACAAACATACTTAACCGCTAAAACACACTTTTCGAGAGTACTCGACTAGTTTCAAGTCATACCGGGGCTTATAACAATGAACGAGTCATTATTTATCGTCATTTTCTACATTGTAACACAGTCATAGTGACTGTATTTTGCTGAATCGAATGTAAAGTTGCTTGTATACAAACAGACAGACTACAAACATTACGTTGTACCGACATTTGTGACATAATCCTAGCTTTATTATTTTAGATCAGTTTATACTAACTCCTTGTCTATGGAGCTACTCGTTTATTACAATCCAATGAAAATATAAAGTTTTCTGAAAACGTTTTTTTTATTAAAGAACATGCGACGCATTGGTAACTGCTCTGGTGTTCCAGGTGTCCATGGGCGGCGCCGATTGCTTACCATCAGGTGATCCGTCTGCTCGTTTCATAAAAAGCTAGCAATTGAATGATTCATTGCATTTGACCAAAATAATTCAATGTTTCATATAGGATATGTTGACAAACGAGCAGACCATGGACACCCATAACACTGGAGGAGTTATTAGTGCGTTGCCGGCCTTTTGGAGATTAAATATTGAAGGGGTTTGACGATATTGGGGAGGGGGAGGAATTGGGCCTCCGGTAACATTACTCACGTGCCATTTTGAAATGACTTATCTCAGCCAAAAACATTTTTTTATATTCAATGGCTGGTTTATGGGTAGCTTCGTAGACAAAGAGTTGTTTTTAGATGAGTTTATGACAAACATTAGTTTAGTTGAGTCCTAGTACTTACGTATAACTGTACATTATATTACTGAACCTACGCGTCATATATCTGTATATACTTTAGTTAAACATATTCTAGCTCCCTAAGTATAGGTTTATCATTATTTTGACTGATTTTTATTATTATTGCTAACAATTGTCATACACTGCAGTGTAATGTATTAAAATTATTATTATTATTTACAAATAATGTCTATATCTTTTATAGATGTTGACGGTCTAACAAAATTTGTATGTTTTTTTAGGAAAATGGACTTAATTTTATATGTATTTATGTGATATTGCAGTGTATGATGGATTACGGCGGCCATATTGTGCCCGCGGTCATTGACCCCGCTCTGACTCGCTCAACCTCCACACATACTACCTACATTGCAACTAACAAACCCCGTCTGTCGACAATTCAAACGATTACCACTCTTATCCCGTTGTATTTAGAGTGATGATAAGTGCACCAAATAGTTGGTATTGTAAATATTTTTTCAGACTTTCAATGTCAACTGTACGTCGTAGGGAATAAAGGTGAGAATCGTTTGAATGTTGTTAGTTGGAATGTGGCGGGTTGTTCATGGAGAAGGCTCATTGTATATGTTTATGTAAAGAGCTAGTCATGTAAACTATGCCTAAGTAGGGTAAGGAGATACCGCGTGACATACAAACATACACGGACACCTTGTGGGAACAATAATATCTTCATATATACGAATGAGTTATATAACTTTAGTAAAATATGATTTTTCTACATGTTTTTTGTTTTCTAGTAAAATTTCCTTCGTATTTCTCATTATATTGGTCCTACAATGTGTATTTGTACTTTCTATGTCACGTGGTATTGTTATAATCTAAGTTCGAAGCGATCGCGACACTGAAACATGACTAATATAAGATGAACTCTATTTCCGTACATTTTATGTACTGTGAGGGGTTAAATTATACTGGGTTCTTCCCTAGATTTATTAATAGCCAATGTAAGTTGAACTTTAGTTTTGTACATCTTATGTGGTATGAGGGGTTTAATTATACCATTTACCCATTTACTTATGAAATTATCTAAAGTAAGTTGAACTCGACTGAACGTACCCATTATGTACTGTGAGGGGTTAACTTATACTGGTTTTTATACTTCTAAATTTTGTCAAGATGATCCAACATAAGCTGGACTCTGGTCATATACACTTAATATAGAACAAGAGGTTAAGTTACACTGGCAGTTTCAGTGTCGCATTCGCTCCAAAAAATTCCTATATTGAAAAATTTCTCAAGTTAGTTGTATAAGTCTCTTATATAATTATTGTAAAAATCTTTTGATACTATATGTATGTAAGTAATATATTTGTACATTTGGTACTCGACACGTATTTTTACTATTATATCGGGCTGCACCCACGTTTAGTAATACTGTGGACACTGACCAGTCGACCGCTACCACTGACTGCTGGGAATAATATGCTGTGGGGATATATTATTATTATTACTCCTTGTACGGTTTTATCTGAGCTTCTAAAGCAGCTGGACTGTTTTTAGTCAAGTGTGTTTACCATGAGATCAACTAGATGGCGTTGTAATCAAGTTAAAGTTTGAATGTACTTATTTTTGTAAATTTTTCAAATAATATTTTGGTTTCGATTTCCGGATTGAACATTTTATTGATATTTACTGTCGAGCATGAAGTCTACTTTACTTTCTACTTTCCTTAATCGACGAGCATGCATGAAAAGATTGATGACTGTAGGTGAATCGAAAGAGGTATGTAGGAATGTAGCAATTGGCGTTCCATAGTATCTGCCTGCCCCCATGGGAGACAGGCGTGAAGTTATGTATGTTAGTCTACCTTACCCTGTTTTATTAACATGGTGTTTATAACTGACATTTGTATTTACTATTTTAGCATTTTTTTTTGGGATATATGTAGAATTCGTAATATTATATCATGTAGTTGAGTATGTCGCGTGGTCAGTGTCCACAAGTTTTGTATAAACTTTATCTCGTGTCTCTGTTGTACATAGCCTGTCCTGCTCGCACACCTCGCTCCACACCCGCTGCCCAAGCATCCTCAACTCTATACACTATAACATACAGTCTATATTCATTTGTGTTTGCAGTGAAGTAAGGTTGCGTATATGGAATTGCTATTGAATTGATTTTGTAAAATACGTTGGTAGCAAAGGTAGGGGGTTCGATTCTAGTGTCTTTTTGGACTTTTTACTTTGAAAACGAATAGTGCCGCTTGCTTCTGCTATCAAAGTAATATGAATTATATTAAGTGATACTGACAGACTGATTTAGTCGTTTACACTTTATTTCGAGTCTGCAGTAGTAGGTGACTGCCCACGCCATTGTACTGTTCACCCATGTTGACAAGTCCATGTTGTACGAGCTGTTCGTCCGTACACTGAGATGTGTATGTTGTTAAGGAAGACGGGATGTTCACAGATATAAAATTACTGTATTTGTTTTTGAAGAGAATATTTATTGTACTACATTAATTAATTAGTGTGGCTATAAATAACATAATTTTGTTAATAGATTGCGTCATGAATACGCTAATGTCGCGCATTCGAAATGTTAATATAGCATAATAAAGTAAAACAATTAACATCACATGGCGATGCTCGTACACGTGTTTCGATGATTATTCATTTTTTTTATACAACATTAAAGAGACCTAGTTCTATGGCCTAAGAAATACTAATACTTGTAGAACACTATTGTATATTGGCAAACTGTCAGGCGACACGCGTAAAAACAGTGCACGAGCTGTGACAGTACTGACGTGGACGGTCGCTGGCTGGTCGCAGTTATTAGTTTACTGTTTGTCAAACGGCGTGTGACAGCAACTCATAGAGTACATGTACGTGTTGTAAATACATAAATAGATACTCACATATATATATATCACTTGCTGGACTTGTGTTAGTAATTTCAGCTGAAATCTAAGATGACGCCTAATTAGTTGGACTTTTAACATTACTGTTGAAATGTGAGTTTTGTATTAAACTAGCTGAGCTCACAAATTTTGTGCCGTCTTAACAGTTTATATGCGAACCAAAGCGAAATAACAGCTGAACCGAAGTGAAATCGGTTCAGCTGTTTTCAGGATAAGCGCTTACCAACACATTCAGCTACTCATTTGAGATTAATAAACATCTCTGCCTACTCCCTCGAGGATATATTTAAAGAAATACATGATACTTTATGTGAGTTCTTGTAGCACGCTGTGTACTATATGATGTCCTGCTGTACAGATGTATAGATGTA